AGGGGCTTGCTGATAACTGTGTGGTGGGGAGATAAGGGGTGTGTGTGGTGGGGTGCATGTTGGATGTGTGCCATGAGAGTGGGTAGGCTGTGGTGTGTGAGGGGATGGGGGGAGGCTCCCTGAGCAGTGGTGGGATGCAGACTGGATGTGTGCCAGGGGAATTGGGAGGCTGTGGTCTGTGAGGGGATGAAGGGGCTTGCTTAGCACTGTGGGTAGGTGCGTGGGTGGGTAAGGGTCTGTGTGGCAGAGATGCATGTTGGATGTGTATCCAAGGGATGGGTGGGCCTGCATTACCACCTCCCCTGCCCAGTGCCGAGCACGTTGGCTCGGTTAATATTTGTGACCTGTGGCCCCGGTGAGTGTAGTGCGTGTAATAGTTGTCTCTAAAGCCCAGTTGTGTGTATGTTGCTGTGGCCCCATCTACTTGTCCTGTACAATGTTATAGTGAGATGCAGGCTAGTGGGCAGGTGACAGGACTTCTCCAGTAGCTCAGCAGTGGACTTTTTCAAAGGGATTTTGTCTCCAGGGTCGCAGCATCACTCCATTCTTTTGCCCCCACTTTGGCAATCTGTGCGTTTCCTGCCTTGCTTTGGGCTGGCGTGCAGGTTACCGTCATTTGTATCTATTGTAGCTTGTTTGGAAGTATTTCAGGCCCAGAAGTGCTTACATTTTACTGAGGATAAAATTACCCCATTTTGTAGTGTATCATTTTAAAATGCTTGGAATCTTTTGGGATAAAAGGTATAATATACATGTGAAGTTATTCTCATAAGGTGCATTTGTTTGAACAGTTGTATTGCCTGTCACCTCTAGGAATCGAATTGGTTTACATGCTACCAGACCCCTGACAACAACCCCATTTCAAATCTAGGGCTGTTAACGTTAAACCCAGACTAGGATTATAAGAATTTACCTCTGAAATCAGTTTTAAATGATCTCTTATGCCCTCTACTAAAGTGTTTTTTTGCTTGATCTAGTTGGGTGTAATCTGGAGCAAACAGTAGAAATTAGTCTTAAATTTACATGGATAGCTATGTAAAATGAACTTTGAAATAGTTATCTGTTTTCACTTGTATTTAAAATTCAATGTACGTATTAGGGATCTGAATTAGGATAAAAGCTGGTTTGAATAAAATGTGCAATTTAAAATAAAATCCATGTAAACTGAAATCACCTTCTTTCCTTTAGAGTGTTAGGGATATATACAACACAAGTTCAATACCCAATATACTCCAAATCTAACTCTTGCTCCCTATCCAGTTTCCCTTATGCACTGTAATAAGCACAAGTCCAAAAGTAAGGAGTCAGAATCAGTTCTCAATTAGTAGCACCTGGCCACCCATCATTCAAATAAGCCAAGTATGCTCTTCCTGAAAACAGTTTGCCTTCCAGGATTTGGGCCTATCCACAGACTAGTAACTGTGTCGAGGGTCCTCATTATAGATGTCTACGTTAAGAAACTGTGTTTTAAACTGAAGTGGGGACAACACGTGTATCCTCAATTTGTACTGCAGACCTGTTCTCTTCAAAGCTGTAGTACAGTTCAGGGGCATAGTTAAAACATAACTAGATCTTGGCTGTCAATACAAGGCCTGGTCTACACTAGGCTTTTATGTCGAATTTAGCGCCGTTATATCGAATTAACCCTGCACCCGTCCACACCACGAAGCCATTTAGTTCGACATAGAGCCCTCCTTAAATCGATTTCTGTAATCCTCCACAACGAGAGGAGTAGCGCTAAATTCGAAATGGCCATATCGAATTAGGCTAGGTGTGGATGGAAATCGACGGTAATAGCTCCGGGAGCTATCCCACAGTGCACCACTCTGTTGACGCTCTGGACAGCAGTCCGAGCTCGGATGCTCTGACCAGCCACACCCCGGGAAAATTTGAATTCCTTTTCCTGTCTGGGCAGTTTGAAGCGCAGTTTCTGTTTGGACACCGTGGCGAGCTCAGCAGCAGTGGCAGCAGTGGCAACGATGCAGAGCTCTCCAGCAGAGATGGCCGTGCAATCCAATAGAAAGAGGGCCCCAGCATGGACGGATCGGGAAGTCTTGGATCTCATCGCTGTGTGGGGAGATGAGTCCGTGCTTTCCGAGCTGCGCTCCAAAAGACGGAATGCAAAGATCTATGAGAAGATCTCTAAAGCCATGGCAGAGAGAGGCTACAGCCGGGATGCAACGCAGTGCCGCGTGAAAATCAAGGAGCTGAGACAAGGCTACCAGAAGACCAAAGAGGCAAACGGACGCTCCGGATCCCAGCCTCACACATCCCGTTTCTACGAGGCACTGCATTCCATCCTAGGTGCGGCCGCCACCACTACCCCACCCCTGACCGTGGACTCTGAGGATGGGATATTGTCCGCGGCCGGTTCCTCAGCGGACGGGGAAGAGGAGGAAGGAGATGAGGAGGACGAGGCAGTAGACAGCGCTTACAACGCTGATTTGCCCGACAGCCAGGAGCTCTTCATCACCCTGACAGAGATCCCCTACCAACCCTCCCCAGCCGTTACCCCAGACACAGATTCAGGGGAAGGATCAAGCAGTAAGTGTTTTAAATATCCAAACATTTATTTACAACATAACTGGCATATTTAAAATATTAACAGTAGCTAAAGTGCTTTAAAACATGTAAACATTTATTTGCAACAAAACAGGAAGATTGAAAATATTAACAGTGGGTAAAGTGCTTAAAAACATGTAAACAGGAAAGTCAAACAAAAGGGGAATCAGTGCAAAGTGTATCATGATTACTCCGTCTTTGGGCGCCTCAATATATAGTCCGAACCATTTTAAAAAAATCTCACAATGTCCGCTTCATGATTATAGTGCCCAAAACCCTGCAGTCATTTGTCCCTCCAAGGGCACCTAAGCCAAGAACTGGTCAATGTAACCGGGGATCGAGGCGACATCCTCCGGGGAGAACTCCTCATACACCTCCTGCAGGTGTTTTTCAAGCCTCATCAGCAGGTTCCTGGGCAGGGACAGCTTATTAGGCCCCCCGTGGTAGGACACGTTTCCCTGCCACAACGCCAGCAGGTACTCCGGGATCATGGCCTTGCACAGCAGTGCAGCAAATGGCCCCGGTTTCTGCAGGCTGTCCCGGAGCATCTTCTCCTTCTGGCTCTCGGAGACCTTCAGGAGGGTGATGTCAGGCATGACTCCCTGCTGTGAATTAGGTAGGGGAAAGTTAGTATTGGGACTGCTTGCCCGTCCCTTTACAGAACTGCAACCGCCGGTTTACAGCCACGCGGTTTACAGCCGCGAGGGGCTGGGACAGGGCCAGAGTTCATGCTTGCAGGATTGCTGCCAGCAGAGACTCGCATTGCTTTCTATGTGAAAGGAGGCCAGTGCCACTCTTAAAGTTTTAAGCGGCCACAAGTCTACGGCTTACCATGTTTGCCATCTAGACAAAGTCCGGTGTCCTGCCCTGCTCCTCAGCTCGCCACAGCAAGACCGCAGGCACTGTAGGCGAGGGCCGAAAATTCGACCTTGTCCTCAGTGCGCGTGTGATAGGTGCTCTGCATGGTCTTGTTCACAGAGAAAGACTATGTTCTCTGTTCACAGATACATTGCTCTGTCTCAGGAATTCACTCCCTTTTTCCAATTCCCACAGCCACATCTGCCCAGAGGCTAGCGCACATTAGGAGGAGGAAGAAGAGGACACGGGAAGACATGTTTGCTGAACTAATGGAATGCTCCCGAGCACAGGCAGCCCAGCAGACACAGTGGAGGGAGAACTTGTCCCAAATGCACCGGGCAAACATTGAACGGGAGGAGAGGTGGCGACAGGAGGACAGGCAGGCTACTCAAACGCTGCTTGGACTAATGAGGGAGCAAACGGACACGCTCCGCCGCCTTGTGGATGTTCTGCAGGACCGGAGGCAGGAGGAGAGAGCCCCGCTGCAGTCTCTCTGTAACTGCCCTGCCCCGCCACCAAGTCCCATACCCCCCTCACCCAAAGTCCAAACACGGAGGGGTGGAAGGGGCCGGGAAAAATTTCACTCCACCCCTGCGGACTGCTCTACCACTAGAAGGCTCTCATTCCCCAAAATTTGAAAAGTCCTTTCCTACCCGCCTCACACAAGACCCCGTCCAAGTTTCACCCCCCCGTTCCATGTGCGGTTGTTAATAAAGAATACGTTTCTGTTCATTTCTGTTTCCATCCTCTTCTTTTGGAGGGGAGTCTGTCTGGAGGGGGGGGAAGGGCCTTGGTCATTGGACAGGACAGTCACCTTTAGCAGGGGGCAGGTGCAGCAGCAGGGCACATATACAGTGCAGTGACTAGTTATCCTGGTCAGTCTGGGAGGTGGTTTTCATGTTCTGTGTGGTGGGGGCGGTGGTGTTGCTCTGTGACTTGGTGGCGGGGGAGGGCAGTTACAGATCTTATGCAGCGGTCCTTACCCTGGATCACAGAGCCGCGCAGCAGGGGATCTGTAACCCTCCTCCCCCTGCAAGACAGTCACATAGCCGACACATACACGCAGTCCCGGCCAGGAGGGCTGGCAGGCTCCGTTGAAACAACCAGTCCACCATCGCGGAGCCTGTCATTCCTGGAGTTTAGAAGCATCATTTGCATCACAACCCTAAACCCGCTCCCCGCCACAGTCTGCGTCCCAGGTTTAAAACATTCCCGTGAAAACAGTAATAAAGACAACGGTGTCCATGAACAAAACAGAACAGATTTTATTTTTTGGGAAGGGGGTGAAGGGGGTATGTAATTGGAGAGGATAGTCGACGGCAACTGGGTAAAGAAACGGGGGCAAGTTCAGCTTCTGTGTCCACAAACTTAAAAGTCAATGGGTACCCTGCTCAGCCTTGAAACTGGCTTTCAAAGCCTCCCGGATGCACAGCGCGTCCCGCTGGGCTCTTCTAATCGCCCGGCTGTCTGGCTGGGCGTAATCAGCAGCCAGGCTATTTGCCTCAACCTCCCACCCCGCCATAAAGGTCTCCCCCTTGCTCTCACACAGATTGTGGAGCACACAGCAAGCTGCAATAACGATGGGGATATTGGTTTCGCTGAGATCACAGCGAGTGAGTAAGCTTCTCCATCTCCCTTTGAGACGGCCAAAAGCACACTCCACCACCATTCTGCACTTGCTCAGCCGGTAGTTGAACAGTTCTTTTTCTGTGTCCAGGGCGCCAGTATAGGGCTTCATGAGCCAGGGCATTAGCGGGTAGGCTGGGTCCCCGAGGATCACTGTAGGCATCTCCACATCCCCAACAGTTATCTTGTGGTCCGGGAAGTAAATACCTTCCTGCAGCCGTCTAAACAGACCAGAGTTCCTGAACACGCGAGCGTCATGAACCTTGCCCGGCCATCCGACGTAGATGTTTGTAAACCGTCCCCGATGGTCCACCAGTGCTTGCAGCACCATTGAAAAGTACCCCTTTCTATTGATGTACTGGCTGGCCTGGTGGCCCGGTCCCAGGATAGGGATGTGAGTCCCATCTATAGCCCCACCGCAGTTTGGGAATCCCATCGCAGCGAAGCCATCTATGATGGCCTGCGCGTTTCCCAGGGTCACTACCTTTGACAGCAGTACCTTGACGATTGCCTTGGCTACTTGCATGACAACAACCCCCACGGTAGATTTGCCCACGCCAAAGTGGTTCGCGACTGACCGGTAGCTGTCCGGCGTTGCAAGCTTCCAGAGGGCTATGGCCACTCGCTTCTGGACAGTCAGGGCTGCTCGCATGCGGGTGTCCTTGCGCTTCAGGGCAGGGGACAGCAACTCACAAAGTTCCAGGAAAGTCCCCTTCCGCATGCGAAAGTTTCGCAGCCACTGGGATTCATCCCAGACCTGAAGCACTATGCGGTCCCACCAGTCCGTGCTTGTTTCCCGGGCCCAGAATCGCCGTTCAACAAAATCCACATGCCCCATTGCAAACGTGATGTCCTCGGCGCTGGGTGTCGTGGTTTCTGACAGCTCTGTGCTACTCTCCGACTTCAGGCCCTCACTCCGCTGCCGTAGCCTCCTCGCCTGATTTCTCTGCATCTGCCTCTGGGAAAGGTGTATGATAAGGTGCGAGGCGTTGAGAACGGCCACAACTGCAGCGATGGTCGCAGCGGGATCCATGATCGCAGTGCTGTGGCGTCCGCGCTGTCACTGATCAAAAAGTGCGCGAACTGATTTCCCGCCGGCGCTTTCAGGGAGGGAGGCAGGGCGGTAGTGACTGACGGATGACGACAGTTACCCAAAAGCACCCTCGCCACAATTTTTTACCCAGAAGCCATTGGGGGCTCGACCCAGAATTCCACTGGGCAGCGGGGACTGCGGGAACTGTGGGATAGCTGCCCACAGTGCACTGCTTCCAATGTCGACGCTTTCCCTGGTAGTGTGGACTGACAAAGTCGAATTACTGTCCTTAGTGTAGACACACACGTTCGACTTTCTAATATCGATTGCACATATTCGATTTAACTAAAATCGAACTACTCTCGTAGTGTAGACATACCCCAAGATAGCATTTATTAGGGGAATAACAGTTGTAACATAGGTAAGAGCCAAGTGTATGCTTTCTGGCTCAAGGAAAAAATTATTTTCTATCCTTCTGAATTGTACGATGGAGTCTTATTGATACATGGGCATATTTAAAATTAAAAGAGTGAGAGAACAAAATTACTGACAAAATTAAATACTTTGACCCGCCACATGACAGCAAGTGTTTACTATTCATATCACCTGTTCTCTGAGAGAGCAAACTTTTTCTGAAGCATATATCATGTTGAATTTTTGGTTAACTATCTAGAAACAGTGGTTAGCTACCAGTAGGAGCAGAATTGCTGCACTGTTAGAATAAAAGGCTGGCATGATAAAACATTATGCATTAAAACAGTTTACTTCTGACAAACTGTATATTAAAATAAAATTTTAATTTTGTACTCTAGCTCAGATCTTTAATACCAACCTGCATACTTATGTTGATCCAAGGATGATGTCTGGGAATTATAGAATAATCAGTGAGTTATGACGATTTACAAGGAAATGACTCAATTTGATGGATTTATTTCCTTAGAAATTATTGGATGCAGCCTGTTAGATGATATATACATGTGAAAATAAAATTAATGCACCAGAAGTGGTCTTAAGAAGCATTACCGTATGGAAACAAGTAGTTTAGCTTCTATGCAGGTACTAGTAAAACCATTTTTAGTTCCATCTTTATATGGAAAATATATTAATACAGATAATAGAAAAATGTTTAAATACCCCTCTGAAGAAATGTTCCAGTAATTAAGTCTGTTGCCAAACAAACAAACAAACCCTTTCCAGCTTGAAAGAGAATGTCCAGATAAGTTAGCGTGTGTATTTGAAAGTGGTGAAGCAACTAGATATATTGAATACGAATTTCATACATTTTAGAAAGTATGGGGTTTTGTGTGTGTTTATATGAGCATTTGCCAGATTAGATGGGAACTCTTTCATCCTTAGCTATTTTTCTGAAATGATGAATTCTGGATTTTTGGTTTTTATTTTGTATTTCAGTTCAGTCATTTTGAGTCACTTATAGTGAGCATGTCCACTGTTTCCAGTGCCTGGCTATGAATTTCCCTTGCAAGTTGTACTTTTTTTGTTTTTTTTAATTTTGACAATTGATCTGGCTTTGATGTATTTACAAGGTGAAGCCCCAACTGCCCCCAAATTCCTTGTCTTCCCTTTCTTGGTAGAGCAAATCAACTTTTTTGACATATTAGTGTCACCATACAGTAATATTCCACTAGAGGGAATTCCGTAGAAAAGTTATCAAAAGCATTGTGCTTCCTGTCTATCATAGTGTATTTTTAGCATGGCAGATCCTTAATTAATCAAAGTAAATAGCTTTTCTAAATGTATGCAGTGCCAGTGGGAAATACGAACAGGGGACATAAGTAGCCAGAAATCTTTGGTCCCGTTTGATCCCCTTGGTACCAACGTTGCCCTAGGTTGCAATCAATACCAAGTAAGAGAGTATACATCATTGTTTATTTAGAGACCATATAGCCAGTTCAGTCTAATTTGAGGCTGGAGTAACTTTTAAAAAAGAAAAACCTTCCACAGCTGTGGATAATAATGCAAGAAGGAATATTAAGTATTAAACTCTTCATCCAACTTCAACTCTATTTGAATGTCCAAAAAAAGTTGCATGAACAGGTTGGCTGTGTATTAATCAGGTGAGGAAACTTGTTATAATGCCTAAAGCATAATCTAATATTTAAAAGTCTTGCCCCCCCCCCCCCCCAAAAAAAAATTATGGAGAAGAAAAATGGTATTTTTTAAAAACTCTGGTAGCATTTGTACACTTAAGAAGTGGTGTCAATTTAATGTTAAACTTTTCATCATTTTCCCCCTACATTATTTCACCAGATGTCCTTGGTAGATTTGGGAAAGAAGCTTTTAGAAGCTGCTCGAGCAGGTCAAGATGATGAAGTTCGCATTTTGATGGCAAATGGAGCACCTTTTACCACAGACTGGGTAATAAAAAATTTTCATTTGTTTGAAATGTTTTTACATTATTTTTGTTTCTCTGTGATATCTTCCCTGGAAAAGTGTAACTAAATTATCAGAAATCTATACAATCATATAAACCTACATTGAGGTTTATATATATTTCCGTATTGAATCTGAGGTTGGAGACTGGACTATGGCATTGCAAATTGAAACTGGATAGTTAATTGTATTGTCTGACCTAGGAATTAGGTACCCAGGACTATTTTGAGCACTGGGCAAGTAATTGGGTAAGTAATTGATGATAGTGAACTCTGAATGAGTTAATCTTTTAATGGCAGTCCAACTGAACTTTGGAAAATATAATAAAATGTGTACATCATTCAGAACGAAAGCTCATCCTGATTACGTGACCATGTGTTAGTTTAGGAAGAGGGCCCAATTAATACCTTTATTCTAATTGCTGATGATCAGCAGAAGTAGGGTCAATGACAAACACCTAAGCTGGAAGTTGGTAGAGTTGGAACATGTATGTGACCTTGAAGAGGCAAGCCATAGACAGTGGTCTCTTCTCTGGATGATGGGAACTTGTTAGCAGAAAATCTCAACTTGGAAATCTTTCTTTTTATATTTCGTTCTTTCAATCTGCTGCTCCTTCTTTCCATGAAATTTAAAAGGGAAAAAGATAGGATTATTAAGAGAAATAGTTAGAATTGGTTGACAGATGCCTGGGTTCTGTACCCCCAGGATAGAAGAGACAAAACGAGAGGGTTGGAAGTGAGTACTTCATGCTGTTTGTTTTGTTTGTTTGTTTGTTAATAGTCCACTTTTGTACCACATTACAGTTGGGAACATCACCACTTCATCTAGCAGCACAGTATGGGCACTATTCAACAACAGAAGTGTTACTTCGAGCTGGTGTAAGTCGGGATGCTAGAACAAAAGTGGACAGAACTCCATTACATATGGCAGCATCTGAAGGCCATGCAAACATAGTAGAAGTCTTACTTAAGGTAGAAACTTCTTTTTATGTTATCTGCCATTTGAAACTGAAACTGAATCTAGAAGACTAGTTAATCATAAATCTGCATAGGTGTAACTTTCTTTAATCCCTCAATTGGCTGAAAATGACTTTTTAAATAATTTTAAGGGCTTTTAAAAAATTTAACATCTGTACTAAAGGTACAGGTGATACATTCTTTTTCCCATTCAGTTTTGTATTTTATTTTTAAATATTTGTTACTATCACTGTGCTTTCAGGCAAATTGTTTTTGGCATCCAAAAATAAGACTTCTTCATAATGCAGTACTATATAAATAAAAATCTTCTAAAACCTACACCTGTGGTCCTAGGAATTATTTAATCCTTTGTGTTAATGTGTGTGGTAATTACTATAAAGTACTTTTAATGAAATAGTAATTATAAGACAGCAGGAAGTTCCTTGCAGCAAGCAAGTGAAAGAGAGTACTTTCATCATCTTGGACATCATTACATTTGCAGCATTTTGCAGTTCAAACAGCCTGTGCTTATTTGATTTCTGTAATGTTTTTGTTTGCAGCATGGTGCTGATGTTAATGCAAAGGACATGCTAAAGATGACTGCTCTTCACTGGGCTACAGAACACAATCACCAGGAGGTGGTGGAGCTCTTAATAAAATATGGAGCAGATGTCCACACGCAAAGTAAATTTTGCAAAACTGCATTAGATATTGCAATAGACAATGGGAATGAAGATGTAGCAGAAATATTACAGGTAACGTTTTGATTTATGATGCAGATGAAACTTACAGAAAGATGCTGATCAGCTAAATTGTTAATTTAGTAGTTGTTGTTGGAGGTTGCATGGTGATGAACATAGATTTTCTCCTCTTCGGTCCATAGCATAGAAGTGAGATGATACGAATACATATTATTTGTGTAAAAATTGGCTGAAGAATGCTTTTAGCCCCTGCCAATTGAAGAAGTGAGGGCCTTTAGTCTTCTTAACTTGCTCATTCCGACTTACAGAATAGCTGGGATAGTTTGCAGATGGGGTATGGCAACTAAACTTTAAGCTACTGGCATCTCTGGCAATATGTCCTAGCTTCAGTGGTAGATTAGCTTCACATGGGGGGCTAAATTAGTTGGTGGGGATGGGAGAGGGAGGAGATGCCCTCTTTTTGTTGACTAGGCACCAGTCCAACTTTCTATACTAGTGAGGATGGGATCCATTGGAATGCCCAGATTCACACAGCCAGGCTTTTTGGCTTACCAGTACAGTTGCTTGCATGGTAGCTTCAGACCTTTTCAGACGCTGAGATTATGTAGTTTTATATAAGCTTCATGGTTAAGTGGGCCGCTTTGGCCTAGAATAAGTGAGGGTATTGAGTATTCAGTATTGAAATGCTAGGGAAACAGGTGTTGGTGGCAGTCTACTGTTTTACTTCACTCAGATTATGTTGCCTTTATGAAGCAAATAAGATAAAGTCTAAAGTTGCAGCCTCTTGGTCACAATTTACATAATTTGGTGTGAGTCCTCATCGGTCCTTGCTCTTTCCAATCTACCTGAAATAGGTCCTAGATTATTACTTGGGTGCGGGTTGACTGTAGATTTACATTTTGTTCCAGTCTTTTATACCTTCTCCTGTGGAGGACGCTGTCACTTAAAAAAACATTTTTATAGAAGTGTACTATGTTTGTTTTTAATGTTTATTTGCAGACTGAATAGTACTGTTGTCTTTTGACTCCTAGATTGCAATGCAGAACCAAATCAATACAAATCCAGAGAGTCCTGACACTGTGACAATACATGCAGCCACACCACAGTTTATCATTGGACCTGGAGGGGTGGTGAACCTAACAGGTCTGGTATCTTCTGCAAATATTTCAAATGCAACAGCTATTTACATGCATTTAGGATAGCTATTGTCATTTTATGCAAAGGCTATTAAGAACAGTGATAAGATTGCAGCAGGTGCCTTATTCATCTTTGTTGTATTTTGTATATTATAAATATCCAAGTACTTAGAATAATAATGTAAATTGAGGTAACGCATCAGAAACTGCATTAGCCTAAAAAACTTGTCTTCAGAATAGCACTTTTGGTTTATAATAAGACCAATATATGTCTTCACTGTAAAAAAAAAAAAAAAAAAATAGGGACTTGTGTGACATTCTAATAAAGTTTGTGAACTGACTTTATTTTTTCCCCTTCTAGACGAGACGGGAGTATCTGCTGTACAATTTGGAAATTCATCAACATCAGTATTAGCTACATTAGCAGCTTTAGCAGAAGCGTCTGCTCCTCTGTCCAACTCTTCGGAAACACCAGGTTAGAAAGCAAAGTAATTTATTTGCATTGAGTAAACGAACACAAAGAATGTGGAGATAAAGCTTTCGGCAGTACAATTTGTCTGACAATGGATTGAAATTCATTTTAAAAATACTGAAAAGAAATTAATACCCATTTTGCTCAAATCAGCAATGTATGAGGATCATATCGTGTAAAATACTTACCACATATAAGACGTAACTATTTCAGAGTAAGACTTTTTTTTTTTTTATTTACAGTTGGTATTTCTGAATCTCCTGGAGGCAGCACTCATTTTCGTGAAACGTAACATCATTCAGGAGCCCATAGTCAGATCAAAACTGGTTTCTGACCTGCAGTATTACTAGTTGGGAGAAAAACTTTTAATATCCGAACACTAGACATTTTGTTTAAAGTATCAGAGGGGTAGCCGTGTTAGTCTGTATCCACAAAAACAACGAGGAGTCCGGTGGCACCTTAAAGACTAACAGATTTATTTGGGCATAAGCTTTCATGGGTAAAAAACCCACTTCTTCAGATTCCTGGTGCCACCAGACTCCGTGTTGTATTTTGTTTAAGTTCATATTTTTTTAAACTAGGAAAAGATGGCCATAAAATACAACATTCAAACAAAACACACTTATCATGTGAAGACCACTAAATAATCTTAAATATATTGGATTAAATTGTTAACTAACTTAAGTGCAGCCCATAAAATGACATGTGGGTCCTCTCCCAAAACACTGAAGCATCCTGCCTGCAAATGTAACACATGTATGTAGAGCTAAATCCTGCCTGGATAGCACTACTAGTGTGACCAAGGATGCTGGAAAATGTATTCATTGTTCTAGGAATCCTGCCAGTGGGGATAGGACTGGGGAACACTCTTCTGGGCACACATTGCTGCTGCACTGAAAAGGAGCAACATGCATCTTCAGCTAGTATCTGCAGCCATCTGTAGCATATTTCACTCTGCAAGGCTGAGGGAGGACAGAGAATCAGTTGACTGCCAAGATAGTATAAAGTGTCATTAGCCCCAATTACTCTGAACATACAACAGCCTACATCTTTTATTCCCTTTAAAAAAAAAAAAATTAAAGAGGGGCGTAGCCAGCTCCTTCTCTGTTTCGGGAACTCTTAACGAGGCTTGGGATGGCCTGATATTGTCCAGAGGTGGTTTTTACCAGGTAAAATCATGGTTTTTAGCACTCTGGGATAAACTACTTCATCCCAGTTTAAGGCATTTTCTATTTTTAAAAACTGTTTCGTTAATGCACGCCACATTACACTTAGTTTTAGTTACATATTCAAATTGTGGCTACATAAGGCAGTAGATTCATAGATTAATTTAGGGTTGTACAAATAAAAAGTAAAACTGCAGTGGATGTAATACTTGTAATTATAATACGAACATTGGAATGTCTGTATACATTTTGGTTTGGTATTTTCTTGAGTAAGTTATGTGTGTCATGACTCATATTTCAGTTTTCAATATTATAGTAGAAAACATTTGATTATATGAAAATGACAATAATGCAGAGTTGTAGGCTTGAAGCATTAAGCGATCAGAAGCATGCAGAGTTGCAGACTACCAATCCAAGTTAATTTGGCTGTGCAGCATTCTGTAGCAGAAGACCAACTCTGATGTAGTGAGTAGACTGAGCCTATTCCTCAGTCTTGAATGGATGTATCTGAAGTTTGAAAAGTTTGGTTCTATGTTTGCAGAACTTGTTGGACACTGATGCAGTTATTTTTCCCAGTGCCCTGGTTTAAATCAAGTTTAAACTGGTATTTTCCAGCACCTTGTCCTCAACTAGATTTTCCCAGGAAATTGCCAACCCTACTGCCATGAACATGCTTTCCCAGTCTGCTGCCTTCCCCCCATTCCTACTTCTGTCCATTTATGATGCAGAAAGTTAGGAAAGAGAGGGCAGTCATGAATCTGGTGCAACCGAAGTGACTTCAAAGACTATGATTATTAGACCTTGTGAAGATAGCAGCAGATATTTATATATCATATAGAAAAAAATTATTCTTCTTCGAGTGATTGCTCCTGTGTATTCCACAGTAGGTGTGCATGCTCGTCACGTGCACCGGTGCCGGAAGTTTTTCCCTTAACAGTACCCATAGTGGGGGAGCACCGCTGTGACCCCTGGAGTGGCGCCTCTATATCACGCTATAAGGGGAGCTGTGCACTCCCCCCACCCTCAGTTCCTTCTTGCCACCAGTGAAGGTAGTCGGAACTTTGTGCTCCAGCTCTGCTGTAGCGCTTCTAGCCTTAGTAGTACAACTCTTCTTAGTAGTCTGATTCTCTAGTTAGTTGCCTGGCTCGGGGCATGCCCTGTGCCCCAGGCTTCAAGTCGTGCGACTCCTGTCGCAGTTCTGTGCCCAGAAGCGACCCACACTCTCAGTGCCTTTGCTGTCTGGGCGAGACGCACGTAAGTGACCGTTGTAAAATTTGCAGATTGTTCAAACCAAGAATGAAACGTGAAAGGGATATCCGTCTCCGGGCCCTACTAATGGAGTTGGCATTGGCCCGGCACTGGCACACCGACTCGGCGCCGGGCGCATCGTCGGTGCGGAGCGACGCCCCATCAACCAGTTGGCACCGCTCCCCCGCTAAGAAGCAAGGGAAGACTCAGCGGCGCTGAGAGGACAGGGGTGAGGCTGCACCCAAGTTGGGCAGCCCATGATCCCCCTCGGGACCCAGACCTCCGACTCGCGCTGAGCGGAGTAGTCCGGTCCCGTCCGCGCGTGCCTCTCCTGCGGTGAGAATACCGTCGACGCTGGAGGCAGCACAGGAAGTGCGTTACATCCTCGCCCTTCCGGTGCCGGGCGCGCCGCCCGAGACGGGCCCTCGCTCCCGAGGGAAGCCGCCGCTGGGAGCTCATCAACCCTCCCCGGTCCGGATAGCCCCCACTCCGAGGATGAGGTGCCTACTCGTTTTGCGAAGGTGCCTACTCGTTTTGCGAGGCCATCTCATAGCCCGCGTCAGACTTCCACTCCGTTGGCCGATTCGCCTGGGAGGGAGTCCCGAGGGTCCTCCACTACCCGGAGGGGTTGCAGGCACCGAGACAAGAGGCGTCGACGCTCCTCTTCCTACCGGAGTTATAGGAGCAGGTCTCGACGCCGTCGGCACCGATGCTCAGATTAGAGTGTTCGCTCCAACAGGCGTCGTTCGTGAACCACCCCTCAGCCATCACCGAGGCGTCGTAGCCATGGTCACCGGGGGGAATCTGGAAGCAGTACTTCTGACAGGTACAGGTCTTCTTCATCGAGATCTAAATCTCGAGGCTGGCAGTGACACGGCCGTGGACACTCCCGTCGCTCGTATGGCACCGTGCGCTCTTCAGCGACTTCGGCACCCAGCCACCCATCCCCGGGCCGCACCGTCCCGCACGATCAAGCGGCTCCGCTAGGTCCCCAAGTGGGGACTGGCAAGGGGCACCCTGGCAAGGGCAGTGGTGTCAGTGGGCACCTTGGCCCCAACTACCGGCACCGGCGAGACCCCATTCGGTGGCCGGGAAAAGTCAACCGGCACCGAGACAGCGGCACCGCACCTGGGCTCGGACTTGGGGGTTGAACCAACGGTACCGCCCGATGCCCTGGGGGCAACGGCACCGGAGGAATCCATTGTGGTGCCACCACCTGCCTTGCAGGAAGATTTTAAGGCTCACCAGGAACTCCTTAGGCGGGTCGCCTCGAATCTCCAGCTCCAGGCTGAGGAGATGGAGGAGCCATCAGACACTTTGTTCAACGTGTTGTCCGCCTCGGCACCGGGCCGTGTGGCCCTACCTCTCCACCAGGGGGTGGCTAATATCTCGACTTTGCTTTGGCAAACCCTGGCGTCCTTGGCGCCTATTTCTAAAAAGGCGGAGAGAAAGTAACTTTGTGCCATCAAAGGGGCACGAATATTTGTACTCTCACCCCGCACCCAACTCTGGTGGTGGAGTCTGTAAACCACCGAGAGAGGCATGGCCAACCCCCGTCCACCCCCAAGGATAAAGACGCCAGGAGACTGGATACCTTCGGCAGGAAGGTTTAGTCATCGGCGAGCTTCCAACTCAGGATGGCAAATCACCAAGCCCTCCTGAGCCAGTATGATTTTAACTTGTGGGGGTCTCTGCCAAAGTTCGAACCTCTCCTTTAGGAAAAGGACAAGAAGGAGTTCAGGGCTTTAGTCGACGAAGGCGCGGCGCGACAGTTACAGCAGCCCGTTCGATGGCCTCGGCTGTTGCCATGCGCAGGGCATCGTGGCTCTCGCTGTCAGGGCTGTCCACGGAGTCCCAGTCCCTCATGCAGGACTTGCCTTTCGACAGGAAAGGCCCTGTTTGCAGATCAGACAGACACCCGTCTGCACAGGATGAAGGACTCCCGCACCACCCTGCAAACTCTGGGCCTATATGTTCCACCAGCTAAGGACAAACCCAGGCCACAGACCTTGGTTCCTCTGGCTAGAGGCAGATATGAGCCCCCGCCTAAGAGGCTGAGGGAGCAGAGACGCAGGTCCCAGCGTCAGTCCCGCTCGGCCCCGCGACCTGGGCCCGCCAAGGGCAAGAGGCAGGGGAAGAGGCGCTTTTGACTCTTTGAGGGGGGCCATACGGCCTGATGCCAGGGAAACCCCCCAGTTAATAAAGTTTGTGTTCTGCAACCATTTATCTGCCTTCCGAGTGCAATGGTCCCGTATAACGTTGGACCAGTGGGTCCTCAGCACCATTTCCAAGGGCTACATGTTGCAGTTCGCTTCGCCCCCCCCTCCATCCCCGGATGCCCCCGGGGACCCGGAGCATGTCGTCCTCCTAGACCAGGTGCGGTGGAGAAGGTATCTCGGGAATTTCAGGGCAGAGGTTTTTACTCCCGGTATTTCCTGATCCCGAAGGTAAAAGGTGGGCTCAGGCCCACCCTGCGGAACCTCAACCAGTTTATGGTCCATTACAAGTTCCGTATGGTTTCCCTGGCCTCTATTATTCCATCCCTAGACCCAGGGAATTGGTTCGCAGGCCTGGACCTCCAGGATGCGT